GTACTTTGTCGTGCGAATATATATCGTCATACATTCTACATCGCTATGCTACTCACATACGCATACGCACACATACACACATATAAGACGCGAGAGCGTACACACTCAAATGTACCACAACTTGTGATTTTCAAGGCAGACGAAGTCCGATTCCTGGTAAATCTCCGCACTGCAATGTCTCACTACAATCTGTTCCACCTGGACCTTAAGCAGCCAAATACCTTCTTCAAGGGTACATCGAGATGGATTTAGCTCCAATCCAATCTGCACATCCTGAAGGTAGTGGGCACAATTTCACAAATCAAAGACAAACTGTTGCTGTGAGTGCTCCCATTACTGATCGGCTAATAAAATTTTCTACTCCTTTCTATGATAGTCTTTCACGGTAACCATGATGCGCTTAAGCAAAAGTGCATGGTAAACTAAAACGATTTACTGCTTTTGAATCGGAGTGAAATCCGAACGTAGCTATTAGATTCTTCGCTCCAATCACGTGGACTCCACTCATAAAATATAGCTGCTTGCAATGCTTATACAGCTTGTCCAAACTATCTTGACTTCCACACAGAGAGCATTGTACACTTCAAGTCAACAAACAAATTGATTTATCTAGTCCAATTCAACTCGAATTTGAGAGATCCCAGCAGCCACAATTCATCCAGATTATGAACCAACGCAGACGGAAATCAGCGAAATCCCCCTAATTATGAGAAATTTCCAAGTGCAAAAAACCTAGCTCTTAAAGAAACTATTGATGTCCAATTAGAAACCACCTCATATGATGCTTCGACCTGCAATTTTTAAGCCTTTCAATGAACGACCGTAGAAGATATGACGCAATCTTTTTGCACTTCGATTTCAAAAAATTCCTCAATCATACCCGTTGAAACTATCACAAACAGAGAAAATCTCCCACTGAGTAAAATCTTCAAACCTTAAAAATTTTCTCCTTCGATAGGGCCTACTGCTCAAAATCACTTCAAACCCCAAACTGCTATTTCTAAGAAAATCATCGTTCCAAACCAAAGACCCTGCGCTCGGAACCCTTCGTTTCGCTTGGAACCGCTCAAACTTGTTAATACTTTGTTTGACCTGCAGATCTGCAAACTGAACTCTCCGTTTTGAAGTTGTGATGGCACCTCACACTTAACGCACGGCGATTCGAAGAGAGCGCATTCCTTCACCAAATCTAGAATTTCAAAATCTTTCCACTCCTTAGCTCTCATGCACTTGCGCCTTACACGTCGTCGTATCACTCTTCCCCACTGGAAGAAACTCACGTGAAATCAACACCAATCCGCACAGAAAATAACGAAAACAACTTGAAGCAAATGCAACTTGAAAATCACCGAAACCTGAAATTGTGATAATCAGAGATTGCAAAATGCCACGAATCAGTTCTTCGGGTGAAAACACGGAATCTTCCCCACTGGAATTCCCGTCGGTATGATTACCCCACTGGCAACAACTGTCACATACAAAGTCAAACCCAACCCACTCCGGAGAGATTCCAGGTCGACAATAACGGGCAGTGTACTCGCACACTCCCAACACGCTAGGCTTGACTCAAAGAACTGACGTACTTCAAGTCGTTTTCGACCCTATACCCTTTGTGACCTTAAACCCTAACTCGACGCTATTTTTAGTAAATACCGAGTTACATGACAACTTCAATATCAAGGATTTTGTCTATGATGTTTGTTTAGTACACAAAGTTCACAAATCTTTAAGTAAACTTTACCTATGATAGTCAACAAGCTCCTACCATCAAAGTTTATCATAAATCTATTATTCATGTGTCGTAGATTTAAATGTATACATGGAACATCTCAAATTATAATTTAATAAAATTATGTTCATTAAAAAATAATTTCCTCTAGCATCTATACAGTTTGATGATTGTGAATACTTAACATAATCTTATCATTTGTAACTATAGCATTTACTTTCCAGAGCTCCAATTACATACTTTTGAATTTAACTATCCAAAAGAGAATAAAGTCTTACTCATTAACAACTCTTGTGTTCATACTAGAGTTTTTCTTGAAAATGTAACTCTTGTCACATTTTTAATATATCTCGATTGGTTTACTTTTAGATTTGGATGTAACCTTGCATTTAAAACTCTTGTCATTCTATAAATATAACTAGCATGTATCACATTAAGTGTTGTACACTTAATGTGAAAATGAACAAAGAGATAGAAATATCAACTCTCTTCCAAATCATTAATCAATTAAACATTTACAACTTTGTGGTTAGTATTTATATATAGATCATGATGAAACAACATGTCTGACAATAATTGATAAGAAGAAAATAATGAACTCAAAAGATGTATGATTTTTCTCTCATCATCTTCAAGATTCTAAATATTAATGATAAGATCATAAAACGTATCAACATGATTTTGGTTCTTTATGCTAGAACTTTCCATCTTGAAATTTATAAGTTTCAAGAAGAGATACAACGTATATAATAACTTTTGCAATAAAAACGCCACTCAATAACCTCAAATAGCAAAGTCTATTCATTTTATTCATCCATTTGCTTTGAATCAGCATATTATATTTGCATTATGACTATATTCACAACATATTCCTTAAAGTATTTCCACTTGATATTGTTATAGGTGGATGGTTTTGATCCTTATGTCTTGTCTAGATTCACAACCTTCCTTTTAAACTTCATAATCTTTCCTATAACAAACAATTATCATGTTTATTATATACTATAATGTCATATATTCTTCCCTAAGACTTTGAATTTGCCAAAATTTGTGCTAAATTTGAATTTATCCTTGTGGTATCTGATATAACGTGTTCTCTTTCATTTTCATTTTCATCTTTCCAAATTTCTGAGCTATGTTTGAACTAAATATCTTTTAAAAATCACTATTTACTATTTATATTGTTAAAATGAAAGTGATTTGATATTTTTAAGAAAAAAATTAATATTAAAATTTTTAATTTCTATGAAGAAAAAATTGTAAAATTTGGTATTTTTTAAACTTTAGTATTACATTATTTATGGATATAAAGTTTCATCAATTGATAAAAAAAGCTCGTTTACTTATGCTTTCTCATAAAAAATTAAAAAAAATGAATGAAAATAGAAAAAAGAAACTTTCATTGCATTTATTTGTATTCTTGTAGTACAAGCTAAAACCAGGTAAGTTGAAAGCCATAGTGCTGATACCTAACGCAGTAAACCAAATACCTACAACTGGCCAAGCAACCAAGAAGAAATGTAAAGAACAAGTATGGGTTCCAATATTATCATGGATAAAATTTTCAAGTACATTTCCAATGAAAGATTGTTTTGAATTGTTCTAATTGCAACTTTTTTAATTATATTTATAATTTAAAAATAATATATATTTTTTAATAATTTAAATAATATAAATTACAATAATAGTTTATAATTTATAATTATTTTATTTTATTTTTAAAATGACACATATAAAAAAAATGGATGAAATAAAATTTTCAACTTATGAAAATTTAATATCTCTATTATAAATATGAAACATCATTCATTTTTATTCATTTTTTCTTGATGCAAAACATTATATGCACTTGTAACAAAATTAATTGCAATTTTTCATACTACCCTAATGATATATTATCTTTATCCTTAAGCTAACTTGATAAATAATCTTTGTGATTTATGGAAATAAAACATTTTATCAGTAGATACTTATATATATCACAATATAATTATATGTGAATACTAACTTGTAATAATTCAGTGCTTACATATGAAAATGATTAAACTCAAATATAAATGAAATTTATTCAACTTATATTCAATGTTACATTTAAATTTATTTTTAAAATAGATTTCAAATTCTTAATTTCTTACATTCTGAATAGGAGAATGTAAACAATCAAGCAAATATTAAGAAAAATCTTTTTTACATCAAAAGAGTATGAGAAATAAGAGCTAGAGCTTTAGGGTCTAAAGAAATTTTATTGTAGTATATCTCTCGGAAGTTTTGGAACCAAGTAACTTGGCATACCGTATATTGTAACTTTATCTTTATTGTAGCTTCAAGAGTTGTCATTTGTTGATTCCACTCCTGTTATTTGACGGAAAAATCTCCACTGGTAGAGTCCAACTAACTAAAATGTAGTGCGATCAAACATTTAATCGTTTTAGTAATTTGACGTTTGGCTTTGGGAATGTTCAGGTCCATTTGACAAGTAAATATATTTCTTTTCACTGATAACTACGTTATTTGAGTGCAGAGGTCTTATGAGAGATATCAAGTGTGTCTACACACTTGATGTCGTCACACACACGATCTCAGTCCAACTACCGGCCAAACAACGTGTGATTTTTTGTGCGAAGTTCACACGTTGAGCTCTACATATCACGAATGAGGTTTAAATATATCAAGTCTGCTCACATTTCACTAAAATACATTTATGAAAGATTTTGATGTATATTCGCGACATCGCTTCGTCCTGTGCTGTTTCTAAACAGTTGGCTCTTATAGATGTTAACCACTGCAAAAAACTTTTCATGTTTACTTGTCCTCTTTCGATTTCATGACCTTCTTGACAATTAAATTCAAATTAGGCATTCGTTTTTAACAGTATAACATCCGTAATAGTCTAGATGGTTAGGATACCTGGCTTTCACCCAGGCGACCCGGGTTCGAGTCCCGGTTACGGAATGATCTCTTTTAAATGTTACGGTTTCATTTATTAACGATGAGCACATTTACGAGTTACAATTTGACGGTGAAGAAATGTTTTGAGGTCTATGTAATCACCTTCGCAATCAGAGGTTTTGTACATGAGTCGAGATTATGATGACTTACCATCTCTTCCTGCCCCTGTGGTCGACAAATACATCATGAACGTTGTTATTCTGAGGATGTTTTCGGATAGGGCATACTTCCTACATTTGAGGATCTACTGATCGAATTAAAACCCCAAGGTCTGATAAGAGAATCCTAGGAGTATCCGATACCAAATTTTTTTGTGTTCTGAGAGGTGGCATGAATTTCTTTGATGGGAGACCAACTGAAACATAGGTACTCGTCAGAAGGTCTGAGCAGGACTTACATCGAGAACGTGAGAAAACCGAAACCAAAACAAACGAGACGTGTGAATAGAAAAACAAATACCACGGAGTAATCTAAATGACTGAACAACAGTTTCCTGCACAAAGAAGCCCCCAAGTTCCGACACCTCTATGTTGACAACTTGAGTACACACCAGCAGCTTCAGTTCTGAAAGGTTGAGGAACCGCGAGTAAAATCGCGATGTGGAAACGGGGAAAAAGGATACCCGTCAGAACGCTTGACTGCCTTCACCGCCGGCGGAATGAGCGCGGCAGGACGGTCATCAAGCAGAGCCCTGCGAGGGCTTGCGCCCGGCAGAGCTCACAGTATTCGCGCACTGGCAGCCAAGCCTCTGCTCATCGTCCGGGTTAAGGGACTTGTCTATGATAGTGATCACAGATCAAGATGTACGTACTATAGAACAGATCCTGTTCAAGTATAGTCGTGACAGACCACCTCGGACTTCGCTCATATATACCCCAGAAACCTTTCGACGCAACGCTTAGGGGCTTAAACAACTCAAGGCTCCCCACGTGTCATCCTTACAGCCCGCCCCTGTGTAACACACTGTTCATCAGAAACTACTATTGAAATTTGACTGTGTATCACTCTTCGTCAGGAAGTACTGAACTGTTGAAATTTGACTGAGTATCACTCTTCATCAGAAACTACTGATGAAATTTGGCTGTCAGTGCTCCTCACCTGCCACACATCGCCAATTTGCTCGGAAGCTCAAGTCGCCTCGCGATCGAGCGCATGAGTACTACGCCCAGAACGCCATATGCGGATAACTCTACCTTGTTCACGACACCACGGTGACAGAATTGTCGACTGTAGGCTGACACTTCCACGTCCAGGGGGCAAACTCCCCCGCACAATCGAGTCGCTCCATTCATCTTGCACTCTCGAAGTACTTCCAGCGGCTCAGACGACTCTGTCACTGCAGTCGCCGGTCACACCATGAGGACACAGAGAGGGCAGTCCATGTTCATCATCAGCATCTCCGCGGAGACATTGAGAAGTTACTCTGAGATTTGAGACTGATTTGATTACAATCCAGCTGCACTACCCACTGTAGGCTGCTGCGGAACGAAATCGAGGTCTCAAGAAGAGGATGCAACCATCGAGCCAGTTAAGGCTCCTCTCGATCATGAGTGAGCTACACAGCTCTCAAAAGAACTTAGAAACACTTCCTCTGGAGAAACGGGTCATCGTCGATTTTGCATCACACCTCACGGGTTGCTGTACTTCGCTAGCGCTACATTCCCAATTGCCATGACAGATTACTTCTGCTTACTCTCTGCGGCTGCCTCGAGAAATCATACCAATGTGCAACGGTCAGCAGCCTCAAGAAGAGGCCCGCCATAGAGTAAGTGAAGGTGCGTTTCGATTGTGGTAGGGAGATACAGAAATCACACTTGTCATCCGCCAGGCGTCCTCTGGAAGTGGTGGACATCCTTCCAGCTCGATTTGTCATCAGGTTCATCCGGGTGACGCCAAGAGAATCAGTTCCTGGCATTTACTTTCGCGCCGTCAATCAATTGAGTTTCAGGAGTCATGTACGGTGGGAAACAGCAGCCGTCATGGTATTCAAGCTTTGCGGTTTTCCAAATGCGCTCATGAGGTGAGAAACCGGCTGGAAGTGAGATGTGAATAACTTCTGCTGGATTTGCAAGTTCAGTTGTTTATAGATGGGAGGCTGTATTTCATAACTTGGATGGTTTGTGACACTCTTTTAAGTCTTGCAAACTCTCACCACGAGAAGAGAGTAGCATCGAGCTGGATTTGCAAGTTCAGTTGTTTATTGATGGGAGGCTGTATTTCATAACTTGGATGGTTTGTGACACTCTTTAAGTCTTGCAAACTCTCAACATGAGAGGAGATTAGCATCGAGCGGGACAAACAAATTACTCAAGGGTGAGTTATGTTTCTCCGAAGGCTAGTTTAATGATGCCAGAGAATCAGATGTGACCTCTGCAAGTATGACAGGCTAAAGAATATAAAGGTCGTTAGTATGTCTTCTGCGACCCTGCAGTAGATGTACTACGTGCCTTTCACTGGTACACCATCGTTAGTATGTCTATGGCGAAACTCGCGTATAACACACACACAAGAGACGGCACGGTCGCACCAATCACAGAAAACTAAATGAACCTGAACATTTTCCGAAGCTCGTCTTCCACACGTTGGTCCGCAAAGAAAATTCTCACTCCTAAATGTACCTTCTTACAGAAGTTAATAGCCAGTACTCCTCAATCCCCATTAGAGAGGATTCCCGGACGAAGTAATTTATTGATAAAATTTACACTAGTTCCATACGTTACCTTGCCGGTGAACGAAAGAAGGATGGCCACTTTGATCAATAAAAGATATTGTAGGCAAGTTTCAAAATGTGGCCTACAGCTGATGAAACTTCTCGGTACGTCAAACTTGCCTGCTTAGGAGGGGAGAGAATTCGACGGTTGTGAAATTTAGATGAGAATGACGGTAGCAAAGTTCATTCCTGCCAGGAGAGGGGTGTGATTGGCAATGCGACCTCAGTTTATGTCTAGCGTCCTTTTTGTATACCAAAGAACCCACCAACTTTCCTGTAAGGTGCTGGATAGCTCTTGCGTCAATTAAAAAAGTGAGTAAACTTCGGTATGTTTCTCTCCCCTGAACTTACGAAACCTTACCGCTCCAATTGTGCTTAAATGTAATCATACTCTCTTCCTGTTAAGTGCACTCACACGCCCCCAACAAAATTCAATCGTTTGACTAATGGATTAAGTAAATTTTGATCATTCCACATTAAAGCATTTGTATATCCAACAATACAAAATTATATATGTACATGTGAAGTTGTCCACAGGAATAGACTCAACAGTCCTATCATTTTTGGGCATGACATCCACTCATGTTTTCAACCAACAATTACAGGTGTTGTGGACATACAGATCACAACCCTTAAGATATCTCATAGACCGCTAAGCGTTGCGAACACGTAGAAGCAAGTTAACCGACACTGTCCAAAGCGGCTCAAGTAACCTACTGCCAAGTAGGCTTTCTTGTTATTGTAATTGATGAAAATACGTACTAGTTGTCCAAAGATGTCCGTGTGAAAGAACTTCTATTATGTACACCGCTGCAAGGACAGGACGAAATTTAGTTGAGATCCGTAGTTGAATCATTGCTCGTGGGCACACATTACACAAATTCATTTTAAATCATGACAAAACGGCTCAACGTTTCTTTCATGAATCCGAACCCTTCCGTGCAACATACACAAGATACGTTGTTGATCTCCTCTTCATGCCAAGTATAGTTTATCCTTCATTGAAGATTTCATCATAACACCAGCCACTTATCTTTCAGAATACCAGCATACCACAGCAACCAAGCATGAATGATATTTCTTGCAGTTTTCCAACCACAACTTTGAAGTGGGATCACTGCGGAGAAACTAACACAGTGCGTTTTGTGGTCAAAACGAGGTGCCATAACGCATTGAACTCAACCTACAAGCTTTACTTAACATCAAAAAACCGGGGCAACATAGCACAGTTTCGACTCAGTGATAAGTACACCACACTGTACAAAACACAGGGAAAAAGAATAAGAAGACAAGTCTCACGGAACAAAGCTGCAGATAACATAGAACATGATCAACCGCAGGAGGCGTCGCACATTAACGCCACAACCGTGTTGTAGATGTTAATATGACCTGTACCGTACAATGTGGACATCGCAATATTACTGAATGAACTAAATTCCTCTGTCGATCTCCCCTGTAAGCACTCTCCCGCAAGTCCTGAAAGAAAAGAAAAACAAAAGACATTGACATGCTCTAGTTCATCAATGAGATGGGTCCTTATGCAAGGACATCATGGTCATGTCTTCTCGCCTGACTTGTTGCCCGACTTAGTGCCTGGTGTTCATGCAAGCCAGCCATGTCTGCCAAAGCTTCAAACATGACATCAATCATCAAGAAAACAAAGCACCAAGAGGTCCTCCAAAACTCAACGTTTAATACAGCCGTCTCCATGGCCGGGAAATGCTCTCCTAAGCTATAATGACATCAAGTCTCGACACATATATATTAGGATGCCAAACCTTCACCCTCCGCACAAAGAACGCGCAGAGAAGAGCCCCACCAGCACACACACGAAGAGCATGTATGAGACTGTAACAAAGCATAAACTCATAGCACATAACAAAAACTCTCATGAAGATCGGAATATAAAATGCGGAAACTCCAGATGATTGACGGAGCTTCTGCTTGGGCATGTAGGTTTGCCTGAGTTCAAAGATATTATAGCACGCAAAAAGAGAAAATGACAGCAGTCAGAAACAGAGAATCCATCACATCGTTCAAGTGCAGGAGTTCAAGGATACCTGCCAATAAGAGGTACCAACGAACTCCGATAGCTACAACCCTGTGTTACATTCAATGCTTCGTGTAAAGGTCCGATGCAAGCTTCAAAATCATACCCCTGAAACCAGACTCCCACTCAAGACTGGGAAACTAAGAGGAGACGAATATGGATCGGGATAAATGGGTAATACTTGCGTGATGAGCGCGATTAAAGACTTATATGCGAAAGCAAGTTACTAAGTCGGATCACTGAGAATATGATTGAAATCCGAAGCTTCGCTGAACTGCATGAGGAATTAACACCCTAATGGTAGAGACATTTCCTTAACATAAGCTTAGGAGACCCAAAACAGAGTCTTTCATAAATACACCGGCCTCATGAAACCCCATAGACTCTAATAATCAGAGCAGCTGATCTCAATGCAAATTCGAAGCTTCAGTTATCAAATTCTCCATTACCTCAACTGGCGCAAAGTTGCCCGCACTTGCTCTGAAGAGTGCTCCCCACTCGAGGGATTTCCGATGCCTTCGACGGAGTTTCACTTTCTTTAAGAGTTACAGTCAGCACTAAATCATACCTTTCTGCATCGTAGTGGGGGGTGATCTGAGCTTCAATTGTCCATATCTTCTCTTAGTCATAGTTCTTACATACAGTCTCCACAATCATAACTTGCTTATGGACATTGTAAATAAGAACTAAGACATGGAGCGTTCGGAAAAGATTACAAAGCTTGGAGTTGGAAGTCGACTCTCGTAGTCATAACCGATAACTATGACAAATGCTTTAGGCTAGCTGCCAGATCATCCCGTGAGAGGACATTGGTGGAACTTATGTGTGACCGCTCTGCGAATTCGTCTACGACGTCATTTAAATTTTCCTCCCCCAGAATGAAGTGATGTTCCAGTCCCTCCGCGATAGTATCGACGAAATATTCTCGGGAAGGAAAGAAATCCTGTAGCCTGCAGATAAAGTCCGAATGATCTCGTGCCTGTCGATATGCTGGAGCTCGCTCCGGGACTTTCAGGTAGGCCATTCGTGAGTCTCTGTAGTCCCAAAGAAAAGAGGTGTGATGGAGCCAACGATTCTTCGTGATCGATTGCGCATTCCCTCCAAACTTTCGATCGTTAAACACGTAATCATGCTCTCGTAACTTAAATCCATGAACCTTTTCGAAAACAGGAACATACAAAAGCTCAGTCCAGTTCATGATATGCCGAGGGTAGAGCTGTAAATCTGGAACGGCTGATCGAGAGCAGATCAAAGAAACGAACAGAGTATCCTCGTCCACGACGACCGTCCCACCTCCACTAAACCGCTTGATCACACAGAGATCATCCTTCACCACTTTCTCCACATCCAGAAGCTTCTCTGGCTTCCCAGATATGCCCATCACGATCGCCGGTGGCGAGGTGCCATCGTTGATCACGCACCAATTGTCGTTGCTGGTGCGGAGAAGTCGCTCCTCCAACAGCAATTGCTGGAAAATTGGAAAACCCTTCAATCTCAGCATGCGCATAACAGGTCGAGCTCCATTCTGCAATCCGCCAGTCATTGCTACACCCTCAGCAGAAAGCAGATCCTGTCCAGGTTTAGGGTTGAAGAGGAGCGAATGCAAATCCCGACATTCGAGCTGTCAGCTCGAGGTTCAGACTCATCACTTTCGACGATCTCTTACGATGACCAAACAAGCTCTTCATAAGTTCGTAATTTGCGAGCTTCCAGCCATTTCTCATCGCAGTTGAAGAAACCTACCATATCCACAGATGGAGGCAGAATATTAGAGTCATGGCTCCTATTTGGCGTTGACGCCAACGAAAGTCGGATAAATCTACAGCACAATATGAGCTTTAGGCGCCTAATTCGTTTCTCAGCTTTTACATGAGTTATGTTAGCACATTTCATGCTACATGGTTGGACATGTGATGTTTTACGCATGATAATTCGTTCTGAAATGTATTATACATCAGTTTAATTGAATTCCGGCCTTTAAAAAGGTATGTGCGGTAATGAGTTTAGTAAATGGACTCCTTTTGATAATAAATTCTAACCATCACTGTATGGAAAAGGCTAAACGAAAACATTAATAACTCATACGGTGGGTTTCTAAATTACCTAAATTAGGTTACTCTAAGGCAAGATACGTTAGTTTAGAAGGTGTGTAAATGTGAATTTTATTAAAACATGAAATGAAACCATGAGCAACTGACCTATGATTTAATCTGTACCAAGTCTTTATTTAGGTTGTGCGTCACCCTGTTTTAAAATACTTCTCTACATTTCCCCTCTTGTTCAATAGTACAATGTTCTAATAGAACTGACAGTAGCCCACCATGACTTATGCGATTATTAGCAATCCACTACTACTAAGTAATTCTAATTTGCCATATGAAGAAACTTTATCTATAAAATCTAGCACCGTTATTTGTCTAAATCGCAACCTCAACCTTGGACATATACTTGAATATTCGCAATAATCCTCGAATAACAGTTTAGGTTTTTTAGATGTTTAACCGTTAACTTAGTTACAATTAAGTACTCACCTGCTCTTTTTCAAAATAATTTCATCAACATGTTCCAAACTCAAATGGAAATCATTTGCACCATTAGAAAAGATAGACTACCTCCCACTACTCTCAATTACCAACCACTCAACTCCCACGCACAAGCGAAGAGTAATATAAGTAGTCGTTACTCCCGCATAGTTAAGCAGGCCTGCTCAAACTTCTTCGTTCTCACCATATACTGTAGTGTTGTACCCTTGCCATCTGAAGTATATTGTGGCTGGATCTTACTATGAATTCAAATCAACGTTACAAACTATTCATTTCCTTGCTTTGAATCTCAAAATTATAGTTTATCACTCAAAGACTAAAACACCGACTAGCATAACATAAACATCATCTTGCAACAAATAGAACAAAAACCCTACTACCTCATCCATAAAATCACAAGTATATCAATATATGATTGAATTATATATTATGACTCAACCAATATACAAATATGGATCTAGTTTCATATTGTAAGAAATATATACCACATTTGGTTGTTAGTCGCTTTATAAAATCAATCAATATATCCAAGATGATCAACAATTTGATCATTGTAGTTATGTGATACTCCAATAGACAAATGTGTATGAGGTCAAAATCTTCATGTTTTTTTGTTAGTCACATTAATAGTTAGTTTATTTCCCAAAAAAAATTTGCGTAACTTCAATGCTTTAAGAAACATCTCAAAACTCAACATTCATTAGTCTTAAAACGATTTTGTATGTTTGTGCTCAAATATGAATAAAAAATTAAAAGAAAAACAATCAATATGCATGATAACTAATTTTTTGAATAGTTATATTCGTATTTTGATCAATTAAAAATAATATTTTGGTCATGAGATATTTCAAAGATAACAAGAAGCAAATTCAGAGCAAAATTTTGATTTTTAATTTGTGCATATGATCGCAATTCAAATTATTAAATAAAAACATAAATTATCATACTAAAAAAATGCGAAATTTGGTTGATGGTACCCCATCAGAACGTTGATTTCTTGATGGTACCCAATACTTTCTATTTTACCCGATGGGCAGTTTAGTCCACCGTTACCTATGTTTTACTGTGAGTTCTTGTAATTGACTTCAATCCGGGTTAGTAAAAGTAATGAGGCTCTTTGTTGAAAAGTGACTTCTCCCTGCATGCACTTCACGGACCAAATTACGCAACTTAAGTGACTTCGGCCAAAAGAATTAGAAAAAAAAACAAAGAGTAAGTAGATTACGCACAGACATTATAATTGTAAAATCATCATTGGGACGTGGGAAATTGGACTCTTGCACGATGAAGATTAGAAGCCATGGGAAGTATCACAAACTTAAATTCGGGAAGAAATTTTCTTTATCATTGAAATGGAAACAAAGCCGTTACAAGAACATAACTGAAGGTGATTTGTCAAAAAGGTCTTATCATATGTTGGATCATATTAAGCAGTCAGCGTTTGATGGGATCCCATTTAGCAAATTTCTCCAAAAAAAAAATCTAACATAAATTTAGTCAACCCAATATAGAAATTAATATTTCAATATTTGCGATATTATAATATTTCAAATTAATGGAGAGATTTGCCTGATGGGACCCCTGCGGAAAGTAATTTGCTTGATGGGACCCCTCAGGTTTAGTTTTATCTAATGTACCCCAACGACGGTGTGCCGTCGGACATAGTTCTTGTAACTACGATTACTACTAGTTACAATGCAGGAATTACAATCAGAGATCAATCCCTGATTATAATTTCTGGTGGATTATCACGGGGACAAAGATCGATTTTGCTCAAAGTGCAATTTGTTGTGCTTTAATTCTTCCAATCACAAAGATTCGCGGATTTCTCTGTTGCCTTCCACCTGCACACTCTTTCCGTAACCCTGCGTGGTCCGAGCTCAAGTCTCGCGATCACCCATTTGTGGCGAACAAATAAACTCATGATGAACATTTCTTTGCTTGGATAGTGGCCGGATACAGAATGACAACATAAAAACAAGTGAGTGTGATGGAGTGCGAAGTCCACTCTGTATGCGGGTGCGGTGGACTTTTTGCACTCTCTCTAGTTGTTATTAGAACATGGGTGACGGTGCATCGTTCATGGGGTCCCATCGGGTAAAATGAAACCTGAAGGGTCCCATCAAGCAAATTAGTTTCCGCAGGTGTCCCATCAAGCAAACTCTCCAAATTAATGTGAATATGATATTAAAATATATTTTGGAACATAGAAAATATCAATTACTTTCATAAATTTATATGATTTATAATTTTAATGAATTATATCATTAACGGATATTCAAATGGATATGTTGCTATTTATTTATTTTATCGTGTTGGTTACAATTTGAAAAAAATTTAAAAATTTGAACAAAACTTTGTAATTACATAGATACAAAATTATTAAAAGTAAGATGATAATCAATTAATATTTATTTAAATAAGTTCATTTGAGGTTTTTTATTGTCATGTGAGAGGAATAAACCATCTTGAGTATCTGTTTTGTAGATTGTAAAATTTTTTACATCATCATTTTACTTTCCATGACAATAATACTAATGGAGATGAACATTAATATTACGGCATGAAGATAATTAAAAGAATTTTCATTTATTTCCAAAAATAAATATAGCTATATGGATATACATCTTGATGCAAAGAGAAATTTATTATACTGCGTTATAGATTATCCATATTTGTGTCTATATTTATCATACTTTATTTGAATGCACATGACTTATTTATATTGATTCATAAAAAAACATTAAACAACAAATGATATAGTTTAAAAATTTTAAGTTTTTTGAAGAACAAATAAACTAGTTCATCGACTTCACTCTTGAATTGGAATATACTGTTCTTCTTGAAAACTTGAAAATATATCTTAGTCGAAAACTTTCGAAGGATATATGTTATATAAATTACCTGCAGGAAAGCTACTCGCAATCATAACAAAGTTCGGAAAACTGTTAACCTCGGAGGCAATGACGGCTGCATTAATGACGGAGAATCTTCCGCATAAACAAGAGACCGCTGCACATTGGTATGATTTCTCGAGGCAGCCGCAGAGAGTAAGCAGAAGTAATCTGTCATGGCAATTGGGAATGTAGCGCTAGCGAAGTACAGCAACCCGTGAGGTGTGATGCAAAATCGACGATGACCCGTTTCTCCAGAGGAAGTGTTTCTAAGTTCTTTTGAGAGCTGTGTAGCTCACTCATGATCGAGAGGAGCCTTAACTGGCTCGATGGTTGCATCCTCTTCTTGAGACCTCGATTTCGTTCCGCAGCAGCCTACAGTGGGTAGTGCAGCTGGATTGTAATCAAATCAGTCTCAAATCTCAGAGTAACTTCTCAATGTCTCCGCGGAGATGCTGATGATGAACATGGACTGCCCTCTCTGTGTCCTCATGGTGTGACCGGCGACTGCAGTGACAGAGTCGTCTGAGCCGCTGGAAGTACTTCGAGAGTGCAAGATGAATGGAGCGACTCGATTGTGCGGGGGAGTTTGCCCCCTGGACGTGGAAGTGTCAGCCTACAGTCGACAATTCTGTCACCGTGGTGTCGTGAACAAGGTAGAGTTATCCGCATATGGCGTTCTGGGCGTAGTACTCATGCGCTCGATCGCGAGGCGACTTGAGCTTCCGAGCAAATTGGCGATGTGTGGCAGGTGAGGAGCACTGACAGCCAAATTTCATCAGTAGTTTCTGATGAAGAGTGATACTCAGTCAAATTTCAACAGTTCAGTACTTCCTGACGAAGAGTGATACACAGTCAAATTTCAATAGTAGTTTCTGATGAACAGTGTGTTACACAGGGGCGGGCTGTAAGGATGACACGTGGGGAGCCTTGAGTTGTTTAAGCCCCTAAGCGTTGCGTCGAAAGGTTTCTGGGGTATATATGAGCGAAGTCCGAGGTGGTCTGTCACGACTATACTTGAACAGGATCTGTTCTATAGTACGTACATCTTGATCTGTGATCACTATCATAGACAAGTCCCTTAACCCGGACGATGAGCAGAGGCTTGGCTGCCAGTGCGCGAATACTGTGAGCTCTGCCGGGCGCAAGCCCTCGCAGGGCTCTGCTTGATGACCGTCCTGCCGCGCTCATTCCGCCGGCGGTGAAGGCAGTCAAGCGTTCTGACGGGTATCCTTTTTCCCCGTTTCCACATCGCGATTTTACTCGCGGTTCCTCAACCTTTCAGAACT